TTGAACCCAGGGTGTTCACATTGAGCTACATCCCCATCACTTATTATTTTATTTAATTTATTCTTTTTTTTTTTTTGGTATGGGGGATTGAACTCAGGCTCTTTGGTGGCACCACTGAGTTAAACCCTCAGCCCTATTTTATTTATTTTAAAAAGACTTTTCAGGCCGGGCATGGTGGTGCACACCTGTAATCCCAGCTCTTAGGAGGCTGAGGCAGGAGGATTGCTGTGAGTTTGAGACCAGCTAAAAAAAAAAAAAAAAAAGAAAAAAGACTTTTCAAAGATTAATGACAAATTTAAAAAAAGACAAAGTTCACTTTCTTTAATGTACAAAAAATTACGTGTAGAACCAAAAGTAAACATGTTTGTATTACTGTTTAGGTCTTCATATTAATTTACTATTGAAATAATAGAAGGTGAAAATTTAGGGGTTGGGGAAGAGATAAAATAAAAAAATTTCTACTTATTCTTTTTTGTTTTTGTTTTGTTTTTTTTGAGGCAGAGTTTTGCTATGTAGCCCGGGCTCACTGCAATCCTCCTGCCTCAGTCTTCTGAGCGCTGGGTCACAGGCGTGTGCTACCATGCCCAGCTTCCTCTCATTTATTCTTCTACGCTGTTTATAGCTGTGCCCACTGAGAAGGCTTCTTTTCCTTCTCTCTCCTGCAGGAGTTCAGTTTTAAAATGAATGGAACCTATGCAACAGCTGTGGAAGTCTGAAAATGGGTCCACAGTCACACAGTTCAAACAGTGGTGCAGCTACCAGCTTGTAATTGTTTTTGGTACTGGGGGTTGAACTCAGGACCTGGCCTTTGAGATGAAAGTGGCAGCACCACTGAGCTAAATCCCCGGCCCCCTAGCTTGTAATTTTTAGAGACTGCAAACAAGGCTTTCTTTTGAAGCTAAACCAGAAACAACTTCTTGTGTTCCTTAGGCTTTGAACTGTGTGCGGGAATATATAGATTCTGAGGAGACGCAATTTGGTGTCTGCCAATTACCAGTGGAGTAGCTGATGACACAGTCTTGCAGGACTCCATCGTGGTGACCCAGTATCTCTGTCATCAAGCATTTTAGTCCTTCATCTTCATCTCCTGGGTTATGTTCACGACCAGGTGATTTGAAGAAAGTTACTCCCAACCGTAGCAGTGACATGAGGAGCTGAGGTGCACTTACTCTCCCTTTCTGCAGTCTTCTCTGTTCCTATTTTGTCAAATTCCTTCTCATGCACTGTAATCTGGTTGCAGGAGAGCTGTCCTTTTCCTAGAGAGGCTCTTTTGTACCAGAAGTGTCGGTAAGAGGCTACAGGTTGATGGTGTATTCTAGGTTGAACTGAACCGGTGGACTCCCTGGCTGAATAGGAGCAACTGGGGCATCCCACAGACCTTCTGGTGACCTCTGGCTCTGGCTGTGAGCAGAGAGCCACTTCTCCCATGTGGGCATGGTTGTTTGCATGCCACTCGGCAGCCATCACCTGTCATTAACAGGGTTTATTATTATCTTTTTTAAAATTTTGAGACAGAGTCTCGCTAAATTACCCAGGCTGGACTTGAACTCTCAGTCCTCCTGCTTCATGCTCCTAGAGTGCTAGTACAGCAGTCATGTGCAATTAATCCACAGCTTGTAACTTGTCTTTTAGCTTAATAATTGCAAATATTATTTTGTTGTTTGAAATATTCTTTTACAACATCATTGTAATAGTCTCTCTTTTTTTTTAGGTAGTGTGAATTGAATTCAGGACCTTGTGCTAGCCAGGCAGGTACAGTGCCACTGAGTTACGTTCCTGGCCCTCTGGTATTGTTTGATATAGCTGTATCATGATATCCTGAAGGTTTAAGCTACTTTAAGTTTCTTACCCTGGGGTGACTATGCCCCTGCAGTTCCATCTACTTGTCAGGCTGATGGCAGGAGGATGGTTGAGCCTGAGTTTGAGGCCAGACTGAGCACCAGAGTGAGAACATTTCCCTTAAAAAAATTTTAAGCTCAGTATAGTGGTACACACCTGTAATATCAACAGTCCGGGAAACTGAGGTGAGACTATTGCAAGTTGAAGTTCACCCTGGACAACTTCAAGAGACCCTGTCTGAAAATAAAATAAAAAAGGGGCTGGGAATAAGCCAGGTGTGGTAGTGAAGCCTATAATTCTGGCACTTGGGAGGCCGAAGCAGGGTGGCTATGTCTTTAAGGCTGGCATGGAGTAAGTACATAGTGAATTCAAGGCCAGCCTGGACAAGATAATGAGACCTTGTCTCAAAAAACATGATACACACCCTTGTAACTAAATAAATTTGTATAGTTATGTTTATTTCTTTCGAATTAATTTTTAGACGTGAAGTTCCTGAGTCAGTGCTTATAATTAGCTTCAGTACTAAGCTCCTTGAGGTCAGGGCATTTTATCTGTTTGTTCACTATTATATATCTAGGTCCTAGATCAGCACACAGTGTGCAACTCAGCAAATTGGTGAATGAATGAACAAGTACCTGTTCCTATATTGTATTCCATCAGAGGAGCCAATTTATGCTGTAATTTGCAGTGTGTGACATTATAATAATAGTAAGAATTGTCATAAGTTTTAATTTTCAAGGACAGATCTATTTAACAATATTTTGGGCTGGGCGTGGTGGTGCATGTCTATAATACTAGCATTTGGGAGGCTGAGGCAGGTGCATTGCCATGAGTTTGAGGCCATTCTGGACTACATTGTGAATTCAAGACAAGCCTGAACTACAGTGAACTACAAGCCTGTCTCAAAAAACAACCCCCCAAACCAAACCAAAACAAAGCAAAAAACAATATTTTGTCCTGTCATCCACTGGCCTAAGGAAATAAATATTCCAGCAATATATTTTGGCATCCAAATTTTATCTCCTGGATTTTTTTGTTATACTGACAGCCATTTTAAAAAGTCTCTTGTCAAACCTTTAATATTTTTTGTTTAAAAAATATGGTTACTTATCTATAAGGTTAGTTCTTTTCCCCAAAATCATAACTTTATAAAGAAGTGTGTGTGTGTGTGTGTGTGTGTGTGTGTGTACTGATTTGGATTTTGAAATGTAGTCTTGCTGTGTTGCTCAGGCTGGCATTAAACTCCTGGGCTCAAGCTATCCTGCTCACTATACAGTTCAGGCTGGCCTTGAACTCACTGTGTAGCCCAGGCTGGCCTTGAACTCATGGCAGTCCTTCTGCCTCAGCCGCCCAAGTGCTGGGATTGTAGGCGTGCATCAACATACCTGGCTCCTTTTCTTTTTTCTGGATCATGTTTTTCTGGAATAATGATTTAGAAGATTTGTTCTATATGGTAACTGGGATGGGCTTACCCACACACCTCTTGGATAATTCTTACAAATAATTGATGTCATTCCATACATTTTTTAGGTCAAAAGTAGTATAGGAAAGAACACATATTTTGCTTCCTGATAGTAGATCAGAAGGTTAATATAAGATTTAGTGTTGTAAAGTCCACAAATTGTTTCTCTGTGATTAACCTTCAAGAACCATAGAAAAATGTCCTATGAATTCCAAGGATGGGAACTAGAAAGAGTAAAAGTCATACACACTTTAACATTATTAAAATAGTAAAATTTATGTAATGTAAATTTTTCTGTAGTAAAAATTACAGTCCTCACACAAACTTGCCATATGTATGTGTGATAATTTAGATTCTTTAAACAACGACAACGAATTTAATGGACGAGATTAGCTATTTGTAAGATTGTTATGGAAGGAATTGGGAAGTGACACACAGAGAGGCAGCAGAATGGAAGTAAAATAACAAAAGTATACTCCATCAATGGGGATCGATCACACCTAATGGCAGTGCCCTGATCGATCCAGTACTGGGCTATAACTCCCCCTTTATAGGGTTTTACAGCCTTGATTGATCTCATTCAGGTGGTTATGTTACATTTCCACAGTTCACATTGCTGATATTAAAAACATGGTGGCCAGGCAGTTGAATTTCAGCCCGGATACAGCACTTCTTTGTTAGGGGAGGTTACCTTTAAAATTCATTTAGTTATCTATTCTTGCCAAGGGGAAGGGGGCACATTTGGTCAGCAAAGCTAACTGGTTCTTTTCATTTACAAAACTTTTTTTTGAGACAAGGTCTCACTGTGTAATTGAGACTGACCTGGAACTCACTATGTAGCCTAGGCTGGTCTCGAACTCACAGCGATCCTCCTGCCTCAGCCTCCCAAGTGCTGGAATTACAGGCGTGCTCCACCACACCCGGCTTTCATTTACAAAACTTTAAGGAGACTAGATGCCTCCTGTGCGGTTAATTCTGAACTGAACCAAGCAAAGGGCAGAAGTTATCTTACATTTCCTGGGTGTTTTTGCTATTAAAGTGTTCTCTATCAAGATAAATCCATGCAATAGGTGTGTAGGTATGTGGCTAAGGAGCCTCAGGAATACTTACACTTTTTTTTTGTACCCGGAATCGGACTCCAGTCCTTGTGCTTGCGAGGCAGGTGGCGGAACCACTGAGCTAAATCCTGGCCCAGGAATACTTAAATTTAATCAAGGTTTCTGGGGTGATATTATTCCCTGAAGTAGAAAGTCTATTTCATCTGCTGCCTCTGGCTTCTTTCACAAATATCTGTAAAACTGATTTCTATTAAAAAATGCAAAATAAAATTTATTTTGTCCCATTCCCCCTCAAGCCCCCTCCCCTCTCTATGTACAAAAGCTTTGTTTTCATTTTTTCCTCCTATTTTCACTTTTTCTTGTCCCTTCCTTCCTTTCACCCTCCCACCTCCCTTGTTCCCCTTCCCATTTGAACACTTCAAAAACTGTATTGCATTTACAGTCACCAGAACACTCAGATGTTTATTCCTTAGGACCTCAGAAGCCATGATTTTTTTCTTCTGGCTGAGATCTGGCAATTTTATGCCAGGTGGGGGCAGCAGAACACAGCTGGAACTAACAGCATAGTATCTATTTGTAAAGATATAGGAAAAAGGAAACCGTTTTATGAGTTAAGTTTTTTTACTGGTCACAATCCAAAAGATGTCAAAATTTCCAGCTGCTAAGAATGTATTAGAGAAAAGCAAGAAACCATAATTATGATAATTGTGAAAAAGTAGCTTTTGATGGGCTGTTTAGAAAGATGCAGAAATCTCATTGTCGAAACCCTTTGAAACTTTTTCGTTTTCTGTTTCTTTCTGTCTCTGAGTCGCATTCACTGATATCTGATGAGGAAGAGCATCCGGAGTGGGGGTAGGAATTTCTGTTCACATAGGCATCGTACAACCTTAAGTCCTTAGGAGAAAGTAATTCTTGGCAAACATTCCAGGACCATGTGTAAGTAGAAAAAGTGTCATAAAAGGACTCGTTTTTAGTGTCTATTCCGATCAAATCCCCTCGGATCTTCTGCCAGAGAGTAAGCATTCCTTTTTGATGTTCAAGGGCAGTTCCTAAATGATAGGCATCTGTAGCTTTCTTTACCTGCAGCAAGAGAACAGAAGTTTACCCGTTATTTGAATATGTGATGTTATGGCTTATGTTGTGGTGTCCTCCCCAAGCTTCATGCAGTCATAGTGGGGTTTTTCAGAGGTGGCTGGATCTAGAGTGTGATGCTGGGATTGATTCATAGTGCAATACTAGGACTAAGGGCACCAGGATTAAGGGTGTGAGTGCTGCCCACCCTAAGGGCAGGTAGCCTGGATAAGATATAAGGGACAGAGGTCCCTACTTTTTGCTTGCTTTTGCTATCTTCTGCCTGCTAGGAACTTTTTCTCTTCTTTGATGCTCCTGTGCCTTGCCATCCTGCCTTGGAGGCAGTCAAGTATGGACTAAAATCTCTATGAACTGTAAGCCAAATAAACCTTTCTTCCTTTAACTTTAGGTGTTGGGTATTTTGTCTCAGCAACAAGAAAAGTCACTAAGACAGTCATTATCAACCAATCCAACGAACGTTTAGTATTGTAAAAATGTATTATAATAAAAGATTTACTGCCATCCGTTCCCCTCAAAATACTCCCTCTTGTTTCCAATACACTTATGTCACTGTTCTTACCACTTTCTGAAGAAGTTCTGGAAGTCCTGTTTTGTGAGTGTCTTTAGTTGCACTGTTATGGCTACTTCACTGTCCTGAATCAAATCAAAGTGTTTACCTTTCAAGGTCATTTTGACTTTGGGGAAGATAAAGAAGTTACAAGATGCCAGATCTGGTAAATAAGGTACATGGGGAGATACTGCGGTGTTTTTAAAAGCCTGCCTTTCTGTTGGATGGCACTGGGCAGCATTCACTGTATTTTTGATTATACCTTGTAAAGACACTCATGAAAGAGGACTTTAGAACTGCTTCAGAAATTGGCAGGAACAATGGAAGTTATGTTCAAAATGAGGAGGAGCTCTTCTTATTTGAGTAGAAAAAACAAGATAGAAAGAAAGGTGTAAGCTGCCAAGGCCTGCAGGAAACCTTGACCACAGATGAGGCAGCCTGGGGATCTGGACACCTGAATCTTGCCAGAGCCATGTTCATCCCTGGCCAAGTCTTTGCCCATGGGTTCTGCATCCTGGTTGTGGGCGCTGGCCAACACTGAGCCTGCTCTGCATTTTGTTACCCTTTGGTATAGGGCATCAGAGCCATCAGACTGATGGACCTGATAATGGATGAGGCCAAAGCCTGAAAATTTAGCAGCTCCAGGGAGAAACAAGGGACTGGGCAATAGCATTAGCCCCAAGAAAATCCCACAGATATTGTAAATTGCAAAAGCAGTGTGAAGTTTTACTTCAAAAGTGACTCCTTTGACACGTCAGGCTAAAGCTGGAGATGAAATCCAGTGTAGTGCCCACCATAATTGGGAGGGCTTAATCAGGAGTTGTTATGGCTTGTATCTAGATGTCCCCTCAAAGCCTCGTGTGGTCATAGGAGAGGCTTTACAAAGGTGGCTGGATCTAGAGTATGTGATTAAGGGTGTGTGGTTACTAAATTAGTCCACTCATTGGTTTGGCATAGTTCTGGTAGGATCAAGGGTACCTTACCCTGGGTGTGAGTGCTACTTGACCTAAGGGCAGGAAGCCTGGATATGAGGGACACAGAGAAGGTCCCTGCTTGTTTTGTCACTTATAGCTTGCTGCCTTGCTGACTTCTGCCTGCCGTGAGCTGTTTCTCCTCTGCAATGCTGTTCTGCCATACCACCCTGCCTTGGAGACAGCCAACTATGAACTGAAACCTCTACAAACTGTGAACCAAATAAACCTTTCCTCCTTTAACTTTGGGTGTCAGGTATTTTGTCTCAGCCACAAGAAAAGTGACTGAGATGGGAGCCATTTTGGGAAGGGGTTAATTGTTTAAGACTGAGCAACAGAACAACTATTACAACTACAAAACAACTTCAGGGTTTCCATTGTTACTGTCCCACAGTGATTGAGTGGGAGACAGCCACAAAGACAGCTGTGAAGAGGGTGCAAACTAGACTCAGAATTCCCTGAGAAGTTTTAAATTCAGGCTGAGAAGGACACAGGGCCCCATTTTCCATGGTGAAAAGTCAGACAAAGTATGTGTGGCTTTCAGAGGTGACTGGATCTGAAAGTGCTGATATTAAATCCAGCAGTCTGCTTGAAACCCTCCTCCCTGCCTAAATCCAGCACAGAGATCATTACTTTCACCATCTACCAATGTGAACAAGGACATCTCTTGGCTAGGATAGTTGCCGTGGTCTGCGTTGTATAAAGGGGTCTCTAGAATGTGAGTTAGGGAGCACACCACAAATCCACAGGCCATAAAGGTAGGGAGAGATAACTGACTTGCTGGATTCCAAGATTGCAGAGCCTGGAAAGAAATCATTCAAAAATACAGAATTTTTTATGGACTAATTTTTTTTTGTTGTTGTTGTTGTTGACTAATTTCTTTTCTTGATTAGTTCTTTGGAATTTGAGTTTTATTTCCCTTTTTTCATTCTTTTTTATTTTTATTTTTTGCTGCTTTTCTTTTTATCTTTGTTCTTTTTCTGTTATTTTATCTAATTCTATTAATTTCCTTTTACTCCTTAATAAGATCCTCTATCTCACTTTTCTCTTTCTCCTCTTCCATTGTTTAATTTTTCAAATTTTACTTTTTTTTTTCTTCTTTTCCCACCTTTGTCTTTACTAGTGTAACAATTAAGCTTTATTAATCTTTAGATAACTATGCTATTACTGTTGAATTCTTTTTAGTGGCAGTATAGTTGTTGAATTTAGTAGACATGTACTGTATGTTTCTATTTCATGTAACTCAATGTTTATACTATAAATTTTTTATATGGTTAACAGTGATTCATATTGGTTCTTATGGCATGTCAATATCCAGTTTGTTTGATGCTATTATTGTTGCTATTGCCAGGGTGGCATAGTTGTTGCTATTAACTATTTTTTCCCAATATCTAGGTTGCCTTGTGTTTATTCCCAGAGGACTGGGATGCAGAGCCAATTGAACTGCATCCTCCCCTCCAAAATTAATGGAGATGGTCAGATCTTAGGACAGAGACAAAGACCTATAATTACTTATGCCCAGACTGCATTACTTAAAATCAGATACTAATGAAAGGGGTCTCCATACTACTGTAGCAACAAACTCTTTGTACTATAATCAGACTATACATATCAACATACACATATACCCAGCCACACCTGCATCCCTTCCACCTCCTTCAAAACCTTCCAATTCCCCCAAAGCCCATTCATAGGGCATGTAGGAGCATGAAATAAGTCACACAGTTGAAGCATTCAAAATGATTGAGGAGATTAAAAAATCAGTAAGGTGCTTGATGAAATAAAAGAATATATAACTAAACAAATAATGGACTTAATAAACAAAGTGATCAATGAGTTTATAAAAGACTAATAAAGCTGTGTGTAGTGATGCATGCCTATAACCTCAGCACTCATAAGGCTGATCACCTTATGAGGAGGATTGCCATAAGTTCAAGGCCAGACTGGGCTACACAGTGAGTTAAAGGCCAGTCTGAAATACATATTGAGACTCTGTCTTTAAAAAAAAAATGTATATATATATATATAGGTGTGTGTGTGTGTGTGTGTGTGTGTATGTATATGTATATTATATGAGTAGCAGAATTGAACAGTTGAGGTCAGAGTATCAAAATAAAAAGATAGGAGACTGGGTGTGGTGGCACACGTCTGTAATCCCAGCACTTGGGAGGCTGAGTGCTGAGGCAGGAGGATCACTGTGAGTTCAAGACCAGCCTGGGCTACATGGTGAGTTCCAGGTCAGTCTCGACTACATAGTGAGAACCTGTCTCAACAAAAAAGAAGAAAGAAAGAAAGAAAAAAATAGGGCTGATGCAGGTGACTACATATTTAGAGGTACCTTAAAAACAAGTAATCCTGGAACAACAGCTACTGCATAACACAAGAGTAATGTTAGATTATTGAAATTAGTGAAAAAATCAAAAGGCAGCATGAATGGCATAAAAAGCCTGTATACACAAATAATAGCAGAAAACTTTCCAAGTATGGGGGAGAAATTTAACACACAGATAATTCAGAACCCCAAATAGTCTTGATCAGAAAACTCTGAATGTGGTGTTGGATGCCTGTAATCCCAGCACTTGGGAGGCTAAAGCAGGAGGATCACCATGAGTTTGAGACCAGCCTGGGTTACATAGTGAGTTCAAGGCCAGCCTGGACTACAAAATGAGACACTGTCTCAAACAAACAGCAACACAAACAAATGAAGATTAAAAATTCTCCATGACACATCATAGCCAAAATCCCAGAAGTTCAGCACAATGACAGAATCATAAAAGCTGTGAGAAAAGCAACAAATCACTTATAAAAGTAAACTCATTAAAATTACAGTAGACTTCTCAGTGCAGACCTTACGGTCTAGGAGATCTTGGAGTGAAGAGTTTTAAGCCCTAAAAGGTAATGCTTCCAGGGCTGGGGATGTAGCTCAGTGGTGCTGTGCTGGCCTGGCAAGTGTAAGGTGCTGAGTTCCATTCCCAGTACCAAAGAAAAAAAATAGTTTCCAACCCAGACTAATATATCCTGCAAAACTAGCTTTAAAAATTGATGGAGCCAGGGATTTAGTTCAGTGGTCCTCCTGCCCACCTCTCAAGCACAAGGACCCAAGTTATGTCTCCGGTACCAAAAACAAAAACAAAAACAAAACAAAACAAAAAAACCCAAAAACAAAACAAAAAACAAAAAAAACCTGATGGAGAAATAAGGAATTTTTATGAGAAAGAGCACTTTAAGAAATTTATGACCACCAAAAAAAAAGCTCCAAAAAGTCTTAAGGATATCCTGGAAAGAAACAATAAAGTCAATTATGTGTAATAGAATTAATATACCAGGCAGGGTGAGCAGTTGTAGAAGGGGAAAAAAGGAAATCAACAACAAGAAAACAATGCAATGACAGGAATAAGTTAATACCTTTCACTAATAACTTTAAATGTGAATGGTCTTGATTCCCCAATCAAAAGACACAGATTAGCAGA